AAAAAAAAAAAAATCACGTTGATGAGACGGCGTTTTACGTGGAGCAGTCGCTATGGACGCGGAGCTTGCTGTTTCTGTAGGTACACATTTCCTGGAGACACCTGCACGTCTCGGCCATGCCCCCTCCATTGTGATTGGCTAAAGCGCATCATCGTTCAAACTCAAAGCCCCGCCCTCCCCCCCATCTGTAGTCTTCTTTCACACAGGGCTACCGACAGATTCTACAATGTAAATTGCAGAATCTGTCTTGAGAGATTAAGTAAGTGTAGACTGACCCTTTATCCTAATGTGCTCATTTGCAGCAAAGGACTTTTGCGGCCAGCCCTTTTTCTGAACCCATCATGGTGAAGCTCCACAATGGGATGACCCAACAAACTGAGGACCCAGAGATGCTGTGGGTGATGGGTCCAGTGCTGGCAGTCATTCTCATCATTATCATTGTTATTGCTATTCTACTCTTTAAGAGGTGAGTCTAACAGACAAAACAGCAGACAGCTTTTAAAAACAAAGCCCTCCAGTCAAATTCCAGAATGATCAGGGGTAAGGGAAGCAACATCAGGCCACTGCACTCAGTTGTTGATTGCCATTTTTTTGAGTGTTCAAATAAGTAACATTTACATATATTTTATGTATTTACATATAATACTTTTTTTTTTAAGTCTTCCAAAAGGTACAAAATGAATTAACTGAGGTGAGTGGACACAGGAAAAGGGCTGCAGATGACATCAAATCAATGAACAATTGAAACACAAACTCAAATTTCTATTAACAAAAATGGGAAGGGAAACTAAACCTGCCTATCAAGTCTAAGTGCATGTGTTAGAAAACGAGTACAAATTTTAGGACCACAGTGGTGCTCTACAACCACTGACAACATGTGAGTGTGGAACAGAATATGTTAACTAGAATTACCACCTCACAGTTATGTGTCTCTGCACACCCGTCAAGTTGCAGTTTCAATTTGCATCCATGTCTGTGAAAACATGGATGCTTCACACACATCTTCCGTCGACAACACAGATGATCTATACAATCAGCACAGTTCCAAGGTGGACACCCAAGTTTAGTGTCACCAAGTTACCAGTTCAGTTACCAAATATTTCCCCTTCTGTTGCTGAGATATGACATTGGGTAGTGGCCAGAAGAGTGTTTTTGCAGAACATCATGATGTCACAGTTAAGCTGACCTTTGACCTTTTGGATTTGTAAAGTCACCTCTTCATCATTTTATCCAAGTAGACATTTCTGTACAATTTTGTTATAATTAGTGTATGACTTCTTGCAGTTTGGCCAAAAACATGTTTTGTGAGGTCACAGTGACCTTGACCTTTGACCACCAGATTCTAAGCAGTTTACTGTTGAGTTCTAGTGGATGTTTGTGCCAAATTTAAGGAAATTCCCTCAAGGCCTTCTTCAGATTTCATGTTCACAAGATAGACATAAGGTCTCAGTTACCTTTAAACTTTGACCTATGATAACCATACTTTAATCAGTTCATTGTTAAGTCCAAGTGGACATTTGCGCCAAATTTGAGGAAATTCCCTCAACGTGTGAAGGTGTTTGAATAAAATTAGATGGAGGCAAGGTCACAAATGAACTTGGCCTTTGACCACCAAAATCTGATCACTTCATTGTTGAGTCCAATTGGACAGTTGTGCCAAAATTTCCCTCAAGGCCAATAAATTGTCAGAGTGGAGTATTTTCTTGAGAAGAGACATACATTCATTTTTGTTGAGATGGCCTGAAGGCCTTCATGGCACATTGCAGAAAGTCACTGTGAGTTGCCACACAACCTTGTTCTTCCAAGCTAACAGTTGGCTCTTGCTTCCTGTGCTTGGATCAAACATCTGGAGCTGCTGACTGGGCTGATAGGAGCTTCCATATGGCTACTGCTCTGCTCAAATGGCAACCCTAACTTTGTCTTTTTCTCATTCCTCCTTTTGTCCTTGTTTTCTTTTGATGAGTCTGAATTTGGTAATAATTGTTTGTACTGGTGAGTTTATGAGGAAAGCATCTCCAACAAAAATTGCTTGCTCTACCAAGTCCAAGTTGATGTTTTGCATGTTTTATTCTGATAATCAAATATTTATTGAATCACTGCTCAACATGTTTCTTATAATACTGTATATTGTTGAATGTGTTTTTCCTACCTTTCCATCAGCCAGTGGTTTATTTTTATTTTAGTACACAGTGGAAATAAGTTGAGTTTCAGTTGGGTAATCCATCACAAGAAATGTAAAATAAAAGAAATGTAAAATAAAAAATTAAAGTAGTCCATAATATATCAAGCTGTGTGATCATGCATTTTGGAGGTTACCCAATGGGTCTTGGCTTCATTAGCCTTTGAAAAGAGAAACTTGGCAGATAAAATCTATTTATTTATTTATTTAAGTGTATACCTAAACACTTGATTTTTTTTTAGAGATTCAGAGATATGTGGTTTTCAAACAACAGCAACATTATGGTTAAATCTGACAGTTATAGGTTCAGTAGGTGATATTTATCATAAAAAAGAAATTGAACTTTTTGTCGTATTTGATGAAACTGTCACTTAATCCTGACAGTAGTACATGACAAGGATCTCCTGTGAAAAAAACACCTGTGGCCGTATTCACAAAGCTTCCTAGCACTAAGAGTTGCTCCTAGTGACGAAATTCTAAGAAAATTCTTGGAATTGTGACGTTTACTTAGAATTTCCCCTTAAAGTTAAGACTAGGTAGATAAAAGTTATTCACAAAGCATCTTAGACCTTAAAAGAGTTCCTAAGGTGTAAGGAGGACTTTTAAGAGGATTAAGAGTTTCCTAAGCAGAGGAGAAAATGGTGGAAACACAAAGAGGTTGGAGAAACAGTCTCTTAACACAAAATAACAGTGAGTAAATGAAATGCTACAGATGAGATTGTGCAGGGATAGTGTTTGTGGTCAATCTCATTTGGGATATGTGTCACACTGCGGTGAGGTTTGTCTTGTCTTGGGATTTTGGTCTTGTCATTTCCTGTTTTATTTTGAAGGCCTTACTCTCCTCTCGTTTCAGAGCACTTGCCCTTCCTCATGTGTCATCTGTGTGTTTACCCTGATTACCAATTGTCTCCACCTGTTCCCCATTACCTCCGTGTGTTTAAATAGTCTGTGTCTCCCTTGTCTTGTGCCAGAGTGTCTTCGTCTGATCACCCGAGCTCATCTCCAAGCCTTGTTCCACAGCCACAGTGTTGCCTCACGTAAGCCGTTGTTCCTCTAAACGAGTGATTCTTGTTTGTAACTTTTATAGTTTAGCTTCTTGCCTTAGCTCAGGATTATTTTTCATAGTTGTTTGTTTTCCTCCTTTGGAGCGACTTTGATTTTGTTGTTCATAGCTTAACTTAGGTCTTCCTTTTTAGGAGAAAGTTTATTTTGAGTTTAATCTGATTTTCCTCCTTTGGAGCGATATTGATTTTGTTGTTAATGTCCATAGTTTACCTTAGATCCTCCGTTTTTTAGGAGTGAGCTTATATTGAGTCTCGTCTGGTTTTCCTCCTGTCGGAGCGTTATTTTGTTAAAATCTTCACATAGCCTTTTGTTTGCCTCCTCTGGGATTGACTTTTAATTTGTTATTTTTCTTAGCTGCTGGTATTTCCTCCATTTGGAGCGTTTTTTTTGTTACCTTCCTTTTTAAAAAAAAACCTAGGTAAATTTCATAGTCACTGTTTATTTTGTCACTCGGTTTAGAGAACGTTGGTTTTGAAAATAAAGTCAATTTAAACCAAGTCATCTCTGCGTCTGAGTCCTGCCTGGAGTCCCGGCCTGACAATATGCACACATTTCCCACCCAACAAAATAACACTATAACACAAGAAATAAAATTATCACAATACTAAGATATTTGAAAAACTGGAAAAATACAACAGTGCAGCAGTGATGACTTTTGTCTGTCCAACCTTCAATCAGCAGAGTGATCACACTAACACTATCAATCTCATATTGTGATGCAGTTCATTTCATTTCCACTGGGTGTCCACACTTGCAGGCTCACAAAAGGGTGTGTCTGTGACAACCAATCACATCTGTTAAAAGAAAGCATCACACCTTGCAACAGGGTCAACCTAGGACCCTACAATACCAGAGTGACGACACTTCCATTGACTCCTGTGGTATGCTGAAGTTAAGCCTCGCGCGCCCTCTAGTGGGGCATGAGGGCATTACCTTTCCGACCACAAAACCCATTCACTTACAGTATGTCTGATGCGCACTTGCTTGTAAATTGAAAACGGCCTTGTTTTTTCTTTTAGGTGTCTTGGTCATTAAGTCATGCTTATAATTTGTTTATTTCAAAATGTAGAGAGTAACATTGTGGTAGACAACTTTTTTTTTTTTTTTAACCTGTAAACAGGTCACCGATGCTACTGTTAAGGTAGATTATGCTTTTAGATTTGCTTGACTTTTGAAACGCACAAGAATTCCTGGTCAGCAGCAATGCAGCAATACTGAAGTTCAGTCAGTTCTTGGTCAGATATGCAACTCGCTATCCCGCCACTAGAGGCCACGTGACCAACTTTCCACTTGACCAATGTGTGTTGCTACTCTGGTATTGCAGGTTCCTAGGTCAACCACACCTCCTCAGTAAGATAAAAGTTTCTGTCCCTTCCTTGCTCAAAGTTGCTCTTAGAACTTTCTTAAATCACTCCTAAGCTAAGACTCCTTACTAAAAGTTTTTAGTCTAAGTTAGGAACTCTTTTAGAGTACAAAATGTTTGTGAATACAGCCCATGGTTTCTGTGGCTCCTCCTAGTGCTCCCAGTGGCATTTGAGAGAATCCACCATACCTTAAAGAAAACAACTATCTAGAGCCAGGAGGAGTCTCTTAGCAGTGTCAATCACTGCTTGTGCACACTCTACACAGCCCCCCTCTCCCATACATGCTCTCACAAAAGCCCCTTTGTACTGCACAAAAAACCCATTAACACCTGCTTTCATCTGGGGCCGTGTTCACAAACATTCTGAGAATACTCTCAGAGGGCTCCTAATTTAGCCTAAAAACATTTAGATTAGATTCAACTTTCTGTGCATAAGCAGTAATTAAATAACATATGTACAGGTTAATATACAGGGTGGAGGGTATGAATGATAAAGAGTCTTAGCTTAAAAGAGAGAGGACATTTCTAAGAGCAACTTTGAGCAAGGAAGGGACAGAAACTTTTATCTTAGTGAGGAGCTGTGGTTGACCCTGTTGCTAGGTATGATGCTTTCTTTTAACAGATGTGATTGGTTGTCACAGACATGCCCTTTTTTGATCCTGCAATGTGTGGACACCCAGTGGAAATGAAACGAATTGCATCACAATATGAGATTGACAGTTTTGTCATTGTTTGTGTGATCACTCTGCTGATGGAAGGTTTAGAGAGACAAAAGTCATCACTGCTGCACTGTTCATGTGGATCATGTGTAAATATTTGTGTTGAGATAGACTTGGATATGTATAAACCCATCCTTAAA